CGGTCTCCAAGTGTTCACGTAGCAACAGCCAACTGTACATCATCCACAGGTAGAGATCTTGCAGTTCGATCGCCGCATCAATCTCGTGCATGGACTCCAGCAAGTGAGTCCGTTATTTAGACCACGCACCTCTCCTGTGCTGAATTTAAAGGGAATGATGGGAGTTGCTTCAAGTGGCCGGGAATCACCTCGACTGTGTTTGGTTCCACAAAGGGAGGAACCGCCCATTTTTAACTGCACCTGTTCACGAAAATGCCAAAAGAATAAAAACTCCACCCATGGGCACAGTTAGACTGCACTTTGTGCAAGACTTAGGCTGGGGCATCAAAATAAGGCGCTTAGTGTTCAAATCTCTGGTTAGGCCCGTCTGTGTGGCCTCGTTGTTGCCGTTTTGCTACTTTTCTCGATCATAGAATTTCTATTTCGTTTTAACCACCACTTGACAAATTGTAACTTACCAATAACATGTCCTGGAACGTGCTATATTTCAGCACATACTGCAATAGGGATGTAGCTCAATTAGCATGTTGCTTCTCTAGCTGCAAGCAAAAAAAAAAAAACAAAAACATTTGGATTTCATTGTTTGTTTTATTGATGGCATATTGACTTGAAACGAGACAACGTGAGTGTATCCTCTTCCTGCGTGTCACTGAGGATGATGACAACAGGAAGACAGAAAAAGTGGCAAGACATGAAATGAACCGAGCACCTCGGAGGAGAAAAGAGGGGATGATAAACAGAGATGTGAAGAAAGAGGGAATGTTTGGAAAGTGAACGTGATAAGACCGCCTGATGGAATGCGACACGTCTGAAAAGGGACAGAACTGGAACAAAGGAAAATAATCGAAAAAGAAAACTATTGGATGGAGATCAGAAAGCAGAAGACACAGCCTGATAAAACAACATTTATCTCATTGATTAATGGCCAAGTCAGTGGGCAGCAAGTTTTGACTGACAGGTCCCATTAGTGCAGTTAACAGTCTTGAAACCCCACTGGGACACCAAACAAGAACAGTGGAACACAATCTGTCACGGAAGGGGGATCAACCATTTAGAAACTATTTGTTCCATAGAAGATTATGTAAATAGAAGTAATCACTTCCAGACTCAAAATTGTATTCCATGTACAGGCATTTGGGCCTTGAGTTTGACACTTGTGACTGAGAGGAATTGGAAGACTTAATTCAGAATAGCTTCACACAATTATTTGATTTCCTCGTGTTTGGGTGCCCTGCATCTCAGAAACATGGTCTACAAGTTATCCTAATCAAGAAAAAAGTCAACCTTACCCCAGATAGAAGTGTGAAACAATTTAAGTTAAACTGCGTTTCAATTATTCATCAAACTGTTGATTGATTTGGAAGAGAAGAAGCAATGTACAATCACATTCTTCTGGCATCAGTGTGCAGTGTTGATTTGAAAGTGTCCTGCAAATTTAGTTTACACACGTGCACAAACACGCACAGAAGCAAGGCCCTGCAGTGTACCACCAATGACAATCAAGGACACCCCCCACCAAGCTGGCATGCTTATCCTGTAACTATTGAGCGATACGGGAGGACTGCTAATGAACACAAACATCAGTCATTCACCCCGGGATGACCCCCACCACCCAACCTCCTTCTCAAGTCCACCCGTGCAAAAACATACAATCATTTCTTTCGGAATTAATATCATTCCCTGTCACATGAGCACACTTTAGATGATTTTTTTCCACTGATAAAATGTTGTAGACTTCAGTTTTGCTTCAAACGTATACAGTAGAAATGTGTTGAAATATTGAACAGCTCCCGAAATCTTAAACATCGCGACATCTATTATGCAGTTGTTACACTTACATAAAAAGGCACATTGCTGGCTTGAGGGAGTGTCGTGCCGGCGCTGCAGTGGGAGTAGGAACTGAGAACCGGTTGTAATTTACGTGACCTTAGCTTGACTTTGAACACTATGTCGTTTTTTTAATCACGTGTCTTGCAACATGTCTGGACCGTCTGTTGCAAAGGTCACCCCCCCCTTCCCACCCCCACCTGCCAGGAGCATCTGCATGGAAATCATGAAGCGCAAGCCTTCACATTCACTCACACTTTGGCAAATTGATAAATTGTATGCGTGAGTTTGTTTTGAAATGTTTTCCCGTTCTTTCACCGTTACGTTTCTGTCAGTTATTTTCCATGGATAAGTTGTGTTACTTTGTTCTAAAAATTCACCGTTACGTTTCTGTCAGTTATTTTCCATGGATCAGTTGTTACTTTGTTCTAAAAGTACGCTGATTGATCAATGTTCGTTATTAAAAAAAACACTATTAATCTAAATAATATGCAAAAATATGTCTTATCACATCAATGTAATTTTTTTTATGTAAGTGGAGGTGAAGTAATTGCTGATTAAATGACATAGCATACGTCACGTACAAGAGGTTGCCATGTTTTGCCGCCACCTTTCTGCTACAGATAGCCAGAGACTGACTGAGCGAAGATAGTTTCTCAACATGACTACGACAGCATGTGTCACAAAATTCTTGCACTTGACTCCGTCACTTGAGGGAATACTAAAAGATATGTTTCGGACGACATTTTGCTTGCACGCCTGCTGAAGAATTTGGTGATTAGCTTGCGACGTTATGGCCCCTGAGGCATCGCAGTGTGCGTGCTTCAAAATGCACGTGCTTCGAGCTTCGGTTGTTGCATTTTTTTTAGTTTGCCACTAGATGGCGTTCTAAATGTGAATACGTTCAAGGTCAATGTGAGTAAGGTGTTGACTTCCCTTTAACTCTGCTCATATTTTGAATCGTTGGCAGATTGAATCTTTCTGTATGCGTTTTAAAACATGCTGGATTGTTGTCCGAAACCACTCGTTGGGTTGGTATGGATTTTAAAGCAGAACGGGTTACTTTTAGCCAGTGTTGGTTTAATTAGTTTCACTCAGCAGATTGATTTGAAGATTGGACAGTTTTTAAAGCTGAAACTATTTGCAATTTGTGAACTGAAGTTGAAGTAAATGTAAAGCAATATTCTTCGAAAATATTGCTCGTGGCTGGATAGCTTTGTGAATAACACTGCTTACTTTAGACACAAGGGTTTGAATCCAGGATGGACAGGCCCCCCATCGAAAATGCTATGGGTAGTTTTTATTTCTTGTTGAATCGAAATTTTGACCCAGCATGCTGGGTCTAATTTTTATAAATGACCCACCAATGGCTCAGTCCCTTTTGGACCCAGCCCTGGGTTAGCTATTTCAACCTACAGTATTTGGATTAATTTTGACACAGCAGTTTTAAGAGTGTTCCTCATAAGTGCTTTTTAGCAAATGTATAGAAAAAATATATCGTATTTGCGTTGAATGTGTTTCCCACCAAGTATTCCAAGTAATTCCTCACACTCGTTCCCTGTTTATTTCATTAGGTCAGCGATTGGTGTTGCCTGAAAAGGAAAGCTGTCACAGGAGTTCACTTCTGGATCATTGCACTGACTCTCCTTCTGTCTCCCCCTCCGACTCTCTCATACTAACACAGATACAGTCATGCATGCGCTCATCGTGGGCATCATGAAAACGGGGAAAGTCAAGATAGCCGTGGGCCAAAAATGGGCAGCCGCTGCTGTGAGGATGTTGCTATAGTGAACCTTGGGGCCTCGCAGGAATCAAGTTACCTCAACTTTCACAATGCATGTCACCCTGACTCAAGTAATGTCTTACACACCATAAAAACATACAGTCTTAATACTGCTGGGTCAAAAGTAAGCCAAATCAGGTGAAACAGCGAACTCAGTGCTGGGTCCAAAAGGGACCAGGCCAGTGCTGGGTTATTTTATACCGTACATTTATTAATGATTTCATTTAATACATTAAAAAAAAAAAAAACGCTCTGTACTCAGTGCCTTGATGAATGTAAATAAACAATGACGTGACTGTGGCTCATCGTTGCTCTGAGACACAGGAAACTCATGCTTGCACAACCTCAACAGTCTGTCACAACAAAGTGATGTCAGGAAGCGCAATTCTCTGAGGTGAATGTCTTGTATGCATTTTTGACATGACGCTATCTTGGAATTTAGATATTACGCGCACACCTTGTGTAACGGGAAAGAGAGGTTTTATTTCAGAACTTTTGTAAATCCCATTAACCCATAAATGCTCATACGTACACAAATAAACATTTGCTGGATCATTGCAACACAGAATGATATATAACACTGGAATGATCCCTGACAATAGCAATGTTCCCCACCACCGACATATTCTTCTGGAGTTCTATTCACACTATGATGTGAAGCACAAGAACGACTTACTTCCTTCAGTTTACAACTCGTTATTTGCACCCTTAACTGTTGGAGAGTGATTTTATCTCCTTTGATCATGATCAAAAACTTTTTTTTCATGGCCCACGGAGCTTCCCCCTCCATCAGGCCTGTTAGCAGCAATTGTTGCATTGTTTGAGTTTGGCTCACATGCCACCTGCGTCATAGAGAAAAGGAAAGCATGTTTTGTGCTCAGAACATCCAACTCAAGCTCTACACATAAACTAAATGAATGTACATCGCATCAGAACTCGCTCCTTCACTGTCTGACAATCTGAACAAAAAAATGAATAAGATGACAAATATGTCACATTCCCTGCAGGCAAGTAATCATTCAGTCATGAGGAAGTGTAACAATACTTTTTGGTAATTGATTCAGTTTGAGTTTGGCTCACATGCCACCTGCGTCATAGAGAAAAGGAAAGCATGTTTTGTGCTCAGAACATCCAACTCAAGCTCTACACATAAACTAAATGAATATACATTGCATCAGAACTCGCTCCTTCACTGTCTGACAATCTGAACAAAAAAATGAATAAGATGACAAATGTGTCATATTCCCTGCAGGCAAGTAATCATTCAGTCACGAGGAAGTGTAACAATACTTTTTGGTAATTGATTCGATTTCTTACAGTACACTCAATTCCCGTTAGACACGATGCAAGTATTTTGTAACGTTTATGAACAACATCGGCAGTTTTACAGAGTGGCAAGGGGTGGCAGCTGCCACCTCTACCAAGTGCCTTGGTGGATGAGGGAGGAAAGCGGAGTACCTGGAGAAAACCCACGCAGGCACAGGGAGAACATGCAAACTCCACGCAGGAAGGCCTGAGCCGGAAACGAATCCTGCACCTCTGCACTGTTAGACCGACGTGCTAAACAGTCGCCCACCGTGTCGCCTGATGCTATTCTTGTGCTCTATTATTGACCCTCAATGTCAAGGGATACTCATTTCATGTGAATACATATGTTTTTCCTGTAAGACAACCGCATGTGTGTAGTAGGAGAGATACGCTCTTGGCCCCAATAAGTGACCTACAAACTCATGGCTTTTGAAAGTGTATCCCTTTCGCTCTGGCTCCATTCCCCCCCAACCTCTCCAGTCTCGACATCATTCATCTTGCTGCAGTGCGAACACAGCAGCGGGTGGTGAATCCCCTTCGTGAAGTCTCAGCTGAACTTTGTCAACTCAAATTAGGCAAACTCTCAAGACCTCGCTGCCCAATCTTAATTGATCTGCAAAAGAGAATCGCTGCCTTAAGTTGAATGGAGCGTGATCCACCTTTCCACTCCACTCTGCTTAGTGTGTCAGTGTCACACAGACGAGATTAGAATTGCAAATGAGGCCCTTTACAAAGGGATCGAGTGGGTCATGCAATAAACGGCACAAAAACAAATTACTACAAACCACCGGTTTATAATTGTTATCATCACTGACCTGTTTGTTGAAATGAGACCAATTCTGGTGCCCGTGTTGAGTTATTATGCAGTGCCGCCAAAATCAGGTCAACTCAGTTGCTGCATGAGAAGATGTATCGCAGCTAAACTGAGGTTCATTGTGTTGATGAAGCAAAGCACCAATATGAAAATCGTGGTATTAGCGTATTAGCCCTCACGTTCTTATTTTAATTATTACTTTTACTTTACTTTGATGTTGTTGGGTTGTTGTAAATTTTTAACGAAGGATTGGCAAGTACTGCTAAACAGGGGTTGGTATCCGGATGATATCGGCTTTATTTTGTTGTATCAGGTGGCCCAAAAGGCGGTCGATACCAGTTAAGAAAACGGTCTTTGTTGTATGTCTCTCAGTGCCCGGGCACCAAGATGCTGATGCAATTTGAGGCATGGATTTCTAAAAGTAAAAGTTGTTATTATTATGATGGTCTTATATTATGATGATGATTCTAATTATATTTTATCATAGTGACTATTTTTATGTTGTGAAATGAGTTGCTAATCAGTAAGGCATTAAAAATAAAATTTATATTTTACACATTTGCTTTCTTTCATCAACTGAGAAAAATGCAACGTTGTTATTATTCAATGCATTAATAAAGTCTAATTTTCATGTTGAATGCATACAAACACAAAGGTCAGATACAATCCAAAGGTTGAAACATGACAATTTGAGAACAGCAGCTACTGTCTGTTTGTATTTGAATTTATATTTTACACATTTGCTTTCTTTCATCAACTGAGAAAAATGCAACGTTGTTATTATTCAATGCATTAATAAAGTCTAATTTTCATGTTGAATGCATACAAACACAAAGGTCAGATACAATCCAAAGGTTGAAACATGACAATTTGAGAACAGCAGCTACTGTCTGTTTGTATTTGAAGTAACAGTTAATATAACCTCTAGCACCCCCCCCCAAAAAAAAATTCCGTCATCTGAACATTATATAAAATCCGGCATTAATATTCTTTGTATGTAAATATTAAACGCAAAAAAAGTGAAGAAGATTAATATGCCATGGCAAACTTAGTTTTGTGATTATTCCCGATTGTCCTTGTCCCAAATTTCACTCAAAGGACCAATGAGATTCTTGAGGTGTAATTGAAGTTGTTTCAAGATTTCCCTTAACTACTTTCCCCCTTTGATTCATTTTGCGGAAAGTGCTGCATCACAGTAGACGCCCTGTGCTTGCTTGGACAATCACTTCCCTCATACCGGCCACACAAGCCGATGGGGCGGGGCTTTGTATGCAAATATAGCCCCGCCTACATAGACAGTTGCCTGGCAACGAGCAACCGCGGCTGGTCTCTCTCTCTCTCGACTGAGCGCACTGAAGAGAAGGAGGAGGGTGCGGGGAGAGGAGGAGGAGGGAGGGGCCGTGAATAGAAGTACTCAAGCCGTGTGAGCGAGGTACTCAGGGGACACCGCGTGAGCTTGCTACGCGTTTTTTGTGTATGTGTAACGGAGAGAGAGAGAGCGAGCAGCTCGTTTATGTTAGCCTGCTGGGCGCTGACCGGAATACTTGAACTAGCAACGACGCAGCCTTTGGACTTTTGTCGAAGCTTTTGGGGCGACTAGACGACCGAAGCACCTGTTCCTGTGGCAGCCGCTAAACGGAGACGGAGGAGCGACGTCGCTCACTTGAGCACGGAGGGAGTGGATGAGTTCGGTGGATGAAGGTCTGTCTGGAGCCCAGAGGGGGGCCTTGGACGTTGGACCCCCTCTTTAGGAAGCGAGGTGAGTAAAGGGGATGACAAATGACACTTGGCTCAACATATTCGACGCTTTTTCCCCCCTTGAGAATGAGGCTAAAGTCATTGTTTTATTGTTGTTTCGGAGTGATTCGTAAAAATGTAATAAGTTGCTGCCATTTTAGTTTGAATATATTCCATTATTGGTGCTTTAATGCTTGTAGTATGTCTGACAAACCAGCTGTTTGGTGTCCAAAACATCACATCACACCACACTGTGCAATCTCTTCCCAGTATTTATTCATTAAATACTTCCTCAGTGGGGAAGTACATGGAACAAAATAGTAGAATTATCAACATAATAACAAAACAAACAATACTGATCGTTTAAAACATGCACCGGTTGGGGAATCTATGGCCCGTGGGACTCATACAGACCTCAAGAGCATTTATCTGGGCCGATGTGCACTTTTACAAACTATTCAAGGCTCAAAACTGTAGCCTTAAAAGCCTGAACATATTTCACTGTACAAATTCTCATCATGTACAGTATCAGTAACGTTGGGTGAGAAAAGAGTCTGATAAACAAATTTATGAGCCCATTGAGTGGTAGATTTGCCATTAAGTTAGCAGGCTTAATAAATGGTAAACTGGTATTGTCTGAGTTGATCTTGCCTCAATAATTAGTTCATGTTTCAATTGATAGTCCAGTTTTGAGATTTTCTTTATGAATAGATGTAATATCTTTCATATTTAGCCTTCACCCAAAGGAAAATTTTGATTCGTTTTTCTTACAATCCACCAACAAGTTTCTATTGTCTTGCTGAATCAAGTCTTATGCTGCATTTGAGGAAAGTGGGAAGACTTACCTGACTTCCGACAAGGAAAAGTGCACTAGAACGCCCTTTTGAACTGGGAGGTTCAAGTTGTGAAGTGAGGAAAAAAAACTTCCCAAATTCAACTGTCTTCAATGTAACATCAATCAACAATGGCGACCCCAAGGAGACACAGGCCGTTAATGGCAAAATATAATTGACAGGATTATAAACATATTTTAAATTTTTTTATTAATATTTAGAATAACTTCACATAACACAACATGATAAGTATTAACTGTGTGAAGATATGCTGTTATCTCCCTGCATGAAGTTATTGAGTGAAATGAATGCTTTGAAGCCATTCCTTTATTCGTATAAATTAAGAACATAATGAAGGTTTGTTAGATGTCCTAATGTGTTGTGATGAACCAGAACAACAAACATTTTATCGGAATCACCCATCATTGTTGTTTACATTCGCCTCAAAAGCTTTGAAGTTGGAGCTGGGACAATCCGAGTGGGACAAATCAACTTCCCATCTCCCTTGACTGCAGCATTAATAAATGTAGTAAGAGGATGGAATATTCCATTGCATGAATTATTATTATTATTATTATTATTATTGTTATTAGAGATGGACGCCCCCCCCAGGGCCTATACCACTGCCAATCATTAGTAGTGAGGGAGGCCTTATGTTTGCGTGATGTTTAGACTGCCCTATGTGAGGCAGAACACTGTCTGCCTCATGTCATGCTTTATCTGCTGTTTTTTACAATCAGTAAAACGCAAAAGTATTAAATACATTAGCGTGACTATAGAAATGTTTGTCTATATAAAGAAAACAATAAAATGGTGAAGTAAAGACAGACGGAAACAGATTTATGCCTTTTACAATCTTCCTCAACTCAGTTAGTGAGGGACTGCGCAGTCTGAGGCGAGATGAGGCTGGTTTGAAGGAAAATATGCAACCGCTACAGTTCGAACTATGAAATCATGGACGTTATGAGATTAACATAGAAAAGACATAAAAAGCGCATATTAGAGAAGTAAAATGAAAATGAGTGATCGACTTTTATCATATTTTTTTATTTTGTGCATCCCATGAAGTCCCGCCTCTGTCATATAAATAAACATTTGTTGGATCATTGCATCATAATTATTATTTTTATTTTTTTTGTATATGCATTTCGTGAGGCCCTGGGAGGACTTTTGGATGCTGAGAATTGATTGCTTGAATGTTGAATTGAACCACAAGGATGTTGACAATGTGTTCTTGCGGTGGAGTTGCCTTTCAATCACGGTCACGTGACTCTTTATCTTGACTGTGCAGAGATTTTAATTAAATAGTCTACAGTCAAGTCTGCCGTGTGAGAAAAAAAAAAGTTAAAAATAATATGGACAGCTGCGTCCTTCTGGAACGTGCTGTATTCCGGCCCATTGAAGAAGTGTGCTTGTAGGCCTGACCAATAACAAAGACACAATACACTTTGTGTGGCATTGTTTCTTTGCTGTTGTCCCGTGAGCTTTTTCTCATGGAAAACAGGTGTTGTGGCTCAATAAAGGCTGGGAAACACCGATTTAGACCATACTAGGTAATGTAAAATGTTGGACTTCTCACATGGCTGTGCAAGTGACACTAATGAATTAGTCCAAAAGTAGAATAGTGACATAAGTTAGTTGCCGTGTGATTGTCATTCACAACATGTGACGGGTGGGAATACTCCAGGTCCTGAACTGGATGTTACATAACGAGAAGATTACGCCTTTACATAGGGCACCGTCACACAAAACTCTGTTGTTCGTGCTTTTTGTTCTTCTCCCCCAGTCATCTTGTCTGAGTGTATTCCCCTGTCGGATGGGATTATTGCTCTCATTATTATATTTTTATCTTCCCTGAAAGAAGATATTCAAACCACACATGTCCTGCCCGTACGCAATGTGTACACACTGGCAATTGAATAACTAGATTAACTCACCCTACTGAGCTGTAGTGGATGAATGGGGCTAATCGGGAGTTAAAACGCTCCTTCCTTTCTCACGGTTTCTTTTTATATCACCTGGCAGATTGATGCTGTGAGAGAAATGAAAAAAAATGAGACTTCAATACAAAAGCATTCATATCGTCTGAGTCATCACATTTCTAGAAAGTCAAACATTTGTTCTTTTCGCCGAAGGAGTGGTTTGGCTACAAAACAAAAATAAGACTGATGTTATGATTATGGGCATAAATTGTCTCATGTAGAGTTGAAATTCTTTTATAAAGTCAAATACCGTATTTACCCTTTTCTAAGTTTTTCTATCATAGATACATTCACAAGATTACAAAAAGAGAAATGTGAAATATTTTGAGAATTAAATCCGCATTAAGATGATTAAGGCCAAGTTATAGAATTTAGTAAAAGCTTTCCAAAAAATAAACTAGTCAGTGTTGTGTCACATCATCATCATTATGAACAGTTAGATTCTAACATTTCCAGGCGTCAGCACACCAGAGGCAGCGCCTCGACCACCTGCCGAGGGTCTGCCACTGCGCACAAAGAAATGACCTCCATTCTGCTGGATGACAAAACAGTGCCTTGCCAGCAAGACAAATGTTAAACGCAAAGATCGGCTTCCCGTTCTCTTCTCGGCACTGTGACTTTGAGGACGCGGAGGGAAAATGCTTTCAAGACGGCGGCCTTGAACATTTCATCCGACAGAGGAACCTCAGCTATTTGGGCAGCTATCTCTTTTGACGTGACCAAACTATTCGGGATGTAGAGCAGAGTGGGAACTGATTGCTTGCTGTTTTGTAGTTGAGTGGGGGGGGGGGGGGGGGGGGGGGGGGGAGCATCTGAAATGGTATTGCAGTCATTGCGGTCTTCTGTCCATTAGTGATGAAGGCGATGTTTTGCTGAAAATGAACTCCATTGTGACTTGTCTGTGGTTTGTTTGGTCAAGTGTGAAAGCTGTCATTATTAGTTCACGCTTTGAGAACCCATCATCAGTCACTGCCCGCTTGCAATTCGACTCTGGATTTGCAAAGTCCCGCCATGTGGTAGCTGGCAGAAAAGAAAGAGCATTATTGTATTGATAGTTGTGAGATTTGTCTCAAACGCTGTCCACGCGGGTTGTGACTGAAACATGTTTTTATCTGGGCAACCCTTGGGTCCTATTATTCAAAAAAAAAAAAATAATAATAATAACATACCACTGCGCCTTGATTGAATGATCAGGACGCCAAGTTCTTTGGAGTGTGAACACATCCTCCCAAAAAGTCTTACTGTGCAATTCCAGAGCACAGACAACACACCCTTCCTTGTTTGACCTTCTGTCTGTTTAGTGTTACCTTCATTGGGCCTTCATTGTGTTGACATAAAGTGTCTGTGTTGTGAGTTGGGAAGCAGTCAAGAGTCTAACAGGTGTGTGCCACTTCGAGAACAAAAGGACTTAACATGAGCACAAACAAACAAACAAACACACCCACCCACCACACCCACTCACACAACCATACACACAGAGGTTTTATTTCATAACTTTTGTAACTCAAATCCCATTAACCCATAAATGCTCATACGTACACAAATAAACATTTGCTGGATCATTGCAACACAGAATGATATATAACACTGGAATGATCCCTGACAATAGCAATGTTCCCCACCACCGACATATTCTTCTGGAGTTCTATTCACACTATGATGTGAAGCACAGGAACGACTTACTTCCTTCAGTTTACAACTCGTTATTTGCACCCTTAACTGTTGGAGAGTGATTTTATCTCCTTTGATCATGATCAAAAACTTTTTTTTCATGGCCCACGGAGCTTCCCCCTCCATCAGGCCTGTTAGCAGCAATTGTTGCATTGTTTGAGTTTGGCTCACATGCCACCTGCGTCATAGAGAAAAGGAAAGCATGTTTTGTGCTCAGAACATCCAACTCAAGCTCTACACATAAACTAAATGAATATACATTGCATCAGAACTCGCTCCTTCACTGTCTGACAATCTGAACAAAAAAATGAATAAGATGACAAATATGTCACATTCCCTGCAGGCAAGTAATCATTCAGTCATGAGGAAGTGTAACAATACTTTTTGGTAATTGATTCAATTTCTTACAGTACACTCAATTCCCGTTAGACACGATGCAAGTATTTTGTAACGTTTATGAACAACATCGGCAGTTTTACAGAGTGGCAAGGGGTGGCAGCTGCCACCTCTACCAAGTGCCTTGGTGGATGAGGGAG